GTGGATGGGTGAGCACCTGAGTGCAGGGCAGGTGCTGTGGGGCTCGGAGGGGTGGGTGTCAGGGTGAAACCCTTCTGCTGTCTGCACGCACCCGACCACCCACCTGCCTGGCCGAGCCACAGGCGCTGCTGGGCCCTGGGCATGGAGGGCTGGCTCCCCCCACGGGGGCCTGAGTGGTTCTCCCCTGTAAAGTGGGGGTGGGCAAGGGTGTGTGAACTGGAGTAGCTGGGGCCGGTGACAAAGCCCAATCCCCTCTGCTGGGCTTTGGCGCGAGGCCTCGTGAGGTCAAGGTCAAGCAGGCTGTGGGGGCTGCAGTCTCACCTCGCTGGACTAAGGGTGGGGGACGGTGGTCCCAGGATGTGGCTACGGGCATCCCTCAGCGCGGAGCCCAGGTCGGTCCCCTGCCCTTCTCCCCGTGGAGCCTGGCATGGCCAGACACTCGGGCAGCCAGTGGGACGCACGTGGCGATGGACGCCGTGGCCGTGGTCCAGGCCAGCGGCAAAGACTTCACTTCTTAGCAGGCATAGAAAGAAATACAGTCAGGAGTGGATGTTCATTCCTTCTTCCAGAAGGGACTTCAGATACCCAGGGCTCCTCAGGCTTCTGGAAAACTCAGTTCCTGCTCTTGTCCAAGGGAGCCACTAAGCTGGATCGTCCTTCCCTGGCAGTTGGGGGGTGTTGGGGCCCCTGTGGGGCCGCAGGCAGGAGGCTGAGGGGCACCGGCACGCTGGTCCGGGGTGTTTGTGGGGTCCTGGCACAGGGCACGGACCGGGGCCTTCCCTCAACAGCTGCGTGTTTCCTCGCGCTGTTCGGCTGCTGTTGGCTGCGCGGCGCGGGGTGGGTGGCCTGGCTGTGCGCTCCAACCGCCCTCTCCCTCCAGACTGACGTCCTCAAGTGCGTGGTCAGCACGGAGCCTGGCCTCCGCTCCCACTGGCTGGTGGCTGCGCTCTGCGGCGCCTGCCGCTTCCTGAGGGCTGCCTTCTTCATGCTGCTGCCAGAAAGATGAGCTGCCACCGGCAGTGGCCGCAGCCTGGCCTGCCCGGCCCAACGCGGGGGCCCTCAGCACCCGGGCTGGGAGCCTGCTGGCCCCTGGAGCCCCGCCTGAGCCCCATCCCCACAGACCCAGGCCCTCCGGGAGGGTGCGTGGGTACGGGCTCCCCGGAACCAGCCTACGGCCCTTCCCTCGCACCCTTCTCCTGGAACCCCCGTGTCTTCCCTTTGTTCCGGGACAAGAGAGCCAGGGTCAACTCCCAGGCCCCGAAGGAACACACGCTCCCACTTGATGCCCTGGGGTCCCCTCCCAGGAGCGGGGCTGTCTCAGGACGTGAGTCTTCACGGGCCCTGCACGTCCAGTCTGAAGGTGACTCTGGTCTGGCCCAAGCTGGAGAAGCCACGGGACTTCCTGACCCCGTAAAGGGAGCAGAAGGCTCAGGTGCTGGTTGCGTGATCCATCTCCAGAAGGAGAGTGTGTCCCCTGCCTGTGGCAGGCCCTTGTATGGCGGGGACCAGGGCTTGGGCTCCGGCTGGCGCACCTGACCAACAAATGCGGAACCCTGCAGAGGAGAACAAGTCTGCGCGAGTGAGATGGAGGGTGGGGGTGACCCCTGTGGCCTGCCTCGTGCCCATCCTCACACGACACACAGGGACCTGTCAGGGTCCCCTAAGGACTCACACCGAGGAAGCCCATCCCCCCAGGGAGCACCGGAGGCTCCGAGCCACCCCCAGCCTCCCCTTGGCGCCTACGGTTCCCCAGTCCAGGCACACACAAGGCGTCCTTCCCGGGCCCCCAGCCAGCCAGTGCGGCGAGATGTGCACGGGCCGAGTGGGCAGCAGCCCTTCCTCGGTAGGCACGTGGCTTGGCCCTGGCCTGGCAGCCTGCCCGCCCCAAACGGCCCATCCGAGCCCACGTGCCAGGACAGCGGAGGGCCCTGCGGGAAGCCATACCCAGTCTCAGGGCTCTCAGGTCCCGCTGGAGGGCAGAGGCTGGAAATAAACTCGTTTTCATTTCAGACAGCGTCTCTCACTGTGTTCAATAGCATCTAGCTGTAAACTGGAAAAGGTGTGGAGGGTTTGCGTGAGAATAGCTGGGTGGCGGGTGGGGCGGGAGAGTGGAGGTGGCGGGTCTCTGGTCGGGTTGGCCGCACAGGCACCACTGCCCGTGTCCAGCAGTGGGAGGGGCACGGCGGCATCCACGGTGACGCAGCACAGAGAGCGGCAGCGCCAGGGGGCTCCGGGTGACTCAGCTCTGCAGTCAGACAACGGGTGTAGCGCATGGCCCGGCTGTTCCGCCTGCACTGACGTGGGAAAGGAGGGTGAGCTCAGGGACTCAGAGTCCTGGCTCCAGCGCCACTCGGACAACCGCAAAGTTGCTCTGTCTGCCCTGAGACTCAGCTCCTTTGGCTGCAGGGTTGCGACTGCTGAACGTCAAACCCGGAGTCTTGCCCTGTGAGTGGCTGGAGTTTAGCGCAAGTTCAACTCCCAGGTCATGGAGGGCGTTGGCTGGGGCGGGAGAGTCGTGACAGCCGGGGTGGGGTGTGTAAGAAGACCCTACAGCACCCCTCTGCAGCCCTCTTCCCACCTCTTCCTCCCCCCAGGCCACCCTCATCACCTCTCAAGATCTAACCCTGATGCCAGCAGCCCAAGCCTCCCCTGACCCTCGGCAAGGAGGTTGCTGGTGGGGAGCGCCAGGCCCACGCGCAGGAATACAGGTCTGCCGAGCTGTTTGCTCACAGGTGATGCGGAAAGTGAGCTCCAGCCCCTCCCATGGCCACTGCCCTCAGCTCTGCACATCTGCCCCTTCAGGGTGGGGCCCCGAGGGCAGGGCTGGCAGGACAAGGCTTTGCGCAGCCTTCCTCCAGACGATGGTGGCCAAGGCCAGGACTATGAAACGTGAAGTGTGGGTGTTTCTGAAATCTCCAGGTGGGATTATCCCAACCCCCTGAGGGAGGCCGTCTTCCACTACCGCGTGCCGTGCCAGAGAGTTCACGCATGCACACAGACACCCCGTGGGGGCACACGCACGCTCTCCTGCACCGGGAACAAATGCCAGGTGGCTCCGCAGCCCAGTTCTCCACGGTCCCCCGTCTGTCCAGCCATCCTCGACCTTCTCCCCTTGCCCCCATGTGTCCGTCTCTCTCTCTGGGCCAGCCTTGCCACAGCGCTGGGGGTCCTGGGCTGGCCCCAGCTTCCTGCTTCCTGATGCAGGGACACGCTCCTCCCAAAGCCCGTCCACCTCCAGCTCGGGCCACACGGCCCCTCAGTCTCAGTTTCCCCTTCTGTACAACACAGGGTTGCGCTGAGGTCTTCTAGCCTTGCCCTCCTGTCCAGTCTCCTGATGAAGCTAGAGCCCCAGAGGACAAGGTTTTTGTGCACAAGGTACCTGAGGCCCCCTTCCTGCCTCCCTCATCGCCCACCTGCAGGCCCGCTGCCTCCTGCCTGCTCCTGCCAAGGACCCCAGCCGGGAAAACACAGAGGGGGTCCCAGGGGGATCTCCCCGTGAAATCTGGCTCAGGGCGGGACCACCCAGTGGGTAGCGCAGATGGGAGGGAACAAGACAGTAGGAGGGTGGGGGGAGCAGGAGCCACCTCACCTGGACAGGCTGCGTCCCTCAAACCCTTTGGCACGTTGCTAGCACAGGTGAGCAGCTGCAAACACTAAGGGAACTCAGAGAAGCAGCAGGACTTAACCCTTAGTCCACATGGAGATCAGTGGTCTTTGTGCGTTCATTTGGAAGACTGTTTCCAGCAGCAACAAAGAGAAAATCCCTAAAGAAATGTAACCTCGTATGAGGAAAACTTAAATATACCTTAACGACACCAATGTGTCCCCCGAAAGTTCATGTGTTGGAAACTGGGTCCCCAATACAGTGGTGTTGAGGTGGGACCCTGGGGAGGTGTCGGGGTCATGGGGGATCTGCCCGCAGAGTGGATTCGGTCAAAGGGAGGGGGTGGTGACCGGCAGCTGGGTCTCCAGGGCCCCTGCACTGCCGGGCTCTGCAGAGTCCCCTCCAGCAAGAAGCCCTCCGCAGAGACGGCCCCTGCACCGTGCAGCCCCAGCCTCCGGAGCTGCAAGGAACAACTTTCTTTCTTTATCCAGCCTGTGGTGTTCAGTTATAGCCACAGAACACAGACTAAGACAAACAGAATACCATGTTCTGGGTAAGAAAACCATTTCATAAACAAGACACCTTTCCACAGCAAATCGATAAATTTCATGTAATCCTTATAAAAATACCAGGATGCTTTCCCCCCTGGATCTAAATAAGCTAATTATAAAGTTCACATAAAAGAGAGCGGGGGAGGGAGAGCGCGTGTGCGCTCGAGAATGCAAAGCATGGCCAGGAAAACCCTGAAAGACAGACGGGGGGAGAAACCAGTCCTGCCAGCCCCGAGCCACCTCCTGGGCCTCCGCAGCCGCACCGGGCAGTGCCGGGACAGAGGCAGACAAACACGCCCAGGACACAGGGAGCCCACAAATAGCTCCGTGCCCAGAAAGTTAGGCTGCGATAAGGGGGTCCCACACCAGCAAGGAAGAGGTGGCTTGTTGGTAAACGCTGAGACGACTGTTCACCACCAGGAAAAGACTGAACTGAGTCCGTACTTCACATCACACACTAAGGCAGATCCCAAATGGATCAAAGGCTGAACGTAAAAGAAACAAATACTAGAAAAAATTAGTGAATCCCTTTGTAACTAGGGAGTGGGCAAAATCTGCCTAAATATGATTTAAAACCCAGTAACAGTAAGAGACAAAATACACACTGGAAAAAAATGTTTGTAACATTGACTGTTTTCAGAAATGTTGGTAATTTAAGATACAAAGCAGAGGAGTGGGTGCCAGGGGCTGGGGGTAGGGGAAATGGGGTTACTGGGTCCAGAATTTCTTTCTGGGGTGTTGAAAGTAGACAGAGGGGGCTGTTGTACAACATCATAAATGTCCTAAATGCAGCCAGGCGTGGTGGCTCACACCTGTAGTCCCAGCACTTTGGGAGGCTGAGGTGGGAGGATCGCTTGAGCTCAGGAGTTCCAGACCAGCCTGGGCAACATAGTGAGACCCATCTCTGAAAAAAGTTTTTAAAAATTAGCTGGGCATGATGGCTCACGCCTGTAGTCTCAGCTACTTGGGAGGCTGAAGCAGGAGGATCACTTGAGCCCAGGAGTTCGAGGTTACAGTGAGCTGTGATTGCACCACCGCACTCCAGCCTGGACAACACAGTAAGACCCTATCTCTAAAAATAAATAGATAAATAAATAAATGCCACTAAACTGCAAACTTTAAGATGGTAAAAATTTTGACTTTTATGTGTATTTTACCCCAATAAAAAATCGTAACTTAAAATGAGGGATATGAGGATTAATATTCCTAATTTGAAAGACCTTATGAGTTCCAAAAATCAAGAAGAAAATGATAAAAAGTAAGAGAAATGTAAACCAAACCTACACCAAGACCCCATTTCTGCCCCAGTCCAATTCGATACCAGACTCCATTGCCCGTGGGGCCTCATACGGCACCGTGGGCTGCGAATGCCCAGCTCCTTGGGGAAAAGGGACGGCTCCTTTAAGCAACCAGCTTGCATGAGCTCATTTTCTCCGGAGGTCACCAAGCCATGCGTGAGGGACCCAGCCCATGACCCCAACACCTCCCACCGGCACACATCCTACACTGGGGTCACATTTCCACATGAGATCGGCAGGGGACAAACATCCAAACCACATCACATATATTGTAACTTCGTATCTTCAGTGGAAAACATATAAAAATAATAGCTAAAAAATCAAACTTCAATCAGTAGCCATTGTTAATAACTATCATTTTGTTATAGCTATTATTTTATCTTGTAGATAAACCAAATAATGTTAATGTTGTAATGAACCAAGATTTTTCAGCTTAAGAGTAAAAATAAGAAAATATAAATTAAAAAACTTATGATCTTAAAATTTGAACGGAAAACATTAGTATGAACTCATTTTTTTCTCTAAAAAAATGTGTATATCCTATGCTAAAGTAGTTAGGGGTGAAGAATCATGATCTCTGCAATACAACCTCACATGGTTCAGTGAAAATAAATGAGAAAAATTTAAAAACAATATTCTGGGCCGGGCGCGGTGGCTCACGCCTGTAATCCTAGTACTCTGGGAGGCTGAGGCGGGTGGATCGCTCAAGGTCAGGAGTTCGGGACCAGCCTGAGCAAGAGCGAGACCCCGTCTCTACTAAAAATAGAAAGAAATTATTTGGACAACTAAAAATCTATATAGAAAAAATTAGCCGGGCATGGTGGCGCATGTCTGTAGTCCCAGCTACTTGGGAGGCTGAGGCAGAAGGATCGCTTGAGCCCAGGAGTTTGAGTTGCTGTGAGCTAGGCTGACGCCACGGCACTCTATTCCGGCAACAGAATGAGACTCTGTCTCAAACAAACAGATAAAAAAGACAAAAACAATATTCTGGTTTTTGTCCATGGGAAGGCCTGTAAGTAGAGCAGCCCCGCCGTGATGAGCACGTCGGCACCTGGTCTGTGGTCTCTATTCCCACTCCCCGCTAAAGAGAGGCAGGCTCTGGAGAAGTGGGGAGCTCCCGCCCAGGGCAGGGGTGTCGGTGGTCGTGGCCCGGAGCAAGGGGCCCATCCCAGGCTCCTGGACGGAAGGGCTGTGGGGATACCCTGAGCTCCTCCTGTCCGCCAAAGGAAAGGCCAGCACTTAGTTACAGCACATCGAATACCGCTGCCCTGCACCCACAGGTTCTGCACCTGTGGATTCAACCAACCATGAACTGAACACAGTTGAAAAATAAAAAATAACAATACAACAATAAAAAATACAAATACGAAAATACAGCATGACAACTATTTACATAGCACTTGTATTAGGTATTCTAAATGATATAGAGATGATGTGGAGAATGCGGGGAGGCCTGCAGTTCCAGCTACTCAGGAGGCTGAGGCGGAAGGATGGCTTCGGCCCAGGAGTGAGTCCAGCCCTGGCAACACAGCAAGACCCCGTCTACAGGAAGTACATGGGGGGACGTGTGTAGGTTACAGGCAATCACTACACCACTTTTTATCAGGCACTTCAGCACCTGTGGATTTTGGTATCCGAGGGGTTCCTGGAACCAACGCCCCACGGATACTGAGGGACGACTGTATACGTGAAAGCGTTAAGTTCGTAACAGGAGCAGGAGGAAGAGGGTGAGGTGGTGTGGAATTCTCAATCCTTTGGACGTCACGGGGGTTGCCAGGACATTCTTACTCTAAAAATTGATGATTAAAGAGAAGAAATTAGCGTTCACGCGGGCTTTCTGGTAGGAATGTGCATGAGTGTAACCAAACTGCCTAACAGATAAATGGAAGTTCTTCTGAGCGAGCTCCGGCCACTGAACACGGCAGTGTCTGAAGCGCTAGAAGACAAGCGTTCTGCAGCCCTGGCAGAGGTGCGGGCTCAGGCAAGGGTCACAACGTGCGAGACCTCTGGGTGACAGGTTGGTAGGACACCGGTGGTGAAGGGGCCGGGCCGTCGCTATCCAAGCCCATTAATCCAGCACCAAGAAAGCAAGACTGCCAGGCACGAGGCTCCGACGGCCGCGGCAGGAAGAACTGAGCACCTCTCAGGGAGTGTTTCCAACCAGGGCTTCACATGCAACTTCCAGACCACGGGGAGAGAGGGACAGAGGACCACGGTAAACATGACAAGGGGTGGCAGTTGAATCCAGGCTGGGGACACCTCTAGGCCAAGTGACCAGCTTCACCAGCAAGTCAGGGGCACAGGAGAGGCACAGGGGGACTTTTAGGATCAAAAGGATCCTACAAGACATCACAACCAAACCCAGAGCAAGTGACGCTTCGATAAACCAGCTGTGTGAAGAAAACGTGGAGACGGGCTGGTGTCAGAGAACATCACGGATTCTTCCCAAGTTTGTCAAACGGTGCCGTGGCCATGGCAGTCACTCACTTCTGGTCTCTCGGCTCCAAGCCCCACCTCCTGTGCTCTGCCCTGGCGCTGCCCCCAGACTCCCTCTGACAGGCCTGCAGGCAGGAGCAGGGAGATGCAGGGGAGGGGACACGAACTCCCAGGTGCTTTCAGCATCATTCTGGCAGCAGAGATGGCTCAGATACCAGCCTCCAGGTGCCCTTGGCCCCCGGGGCACCAGCCCGGGCCCTTGTGCGCTGACCGTGCCCCTCCCACAAGGGCCAAGCACCAGCCTGAACTCTCCCCTGAGCTCTGAGGTACCAGCAACCCCACCCTGGTAATACTCTGTCGCCAAGCCCTGGAGGCAGTGCTGTAGCTGCTACCGCAGGCGTTAACCCCCACGCTCGAGCACTATCTCTTTTAACTCTCTGCTTCCCAACATCTGTGTAACAAACCACGTCTCTATGTACCTGGCGAAGCTTCTGATACAGTGATGTGTTAAGAAAAAGAAAAACCTTTTGTTTTGGGATGCATACCAAAGCATTGAGGGGCAAATGACATTATGTCTGGAATTTGCTTACAAACACTCCAGCAGGAAAAGCGGGAGAGGAACAGAAGAGACGGGTGTGGGAAAGTGCTGGTGTGTCCTGCCGCTGGGTGATGGGACAAGGTGGAGTGCACGTTTGGAAACTTCCACAGGGAAAAAACCCACAGAAACAAAAGGACTATTCACCACGGAGTTATCAAATACAACTTACATAATAATGTTAAAATCACAACTAACCTCTCTTCTTGGGAACGTCCCTTGTCTGCAGGGACATGGGGGTCCTGAGACTCTTAACTCTTTAAAGGTGATGAAAAGTAACTGCAATCCGCTATCTTGTGTCTTCAACTTATTGTTGACTACTCTTTTGAAGATTTACAAATACTTTAGGTCTTTTCAAAACTGCATGGAGAGAGAGAGAAATAAAGAAAGAACCATTCCTCCTTAATTTCTTATGGGAAAGACTTTGGAAAACAAATAATCAGCAGCAGATGAAAAAAATATACACTTTACACAAGTGATAATATCCAAAATCCTCAGCCATAAAAATAAAGGCCTTTTATTTGGTTTTCTATGCCATACAGGAACATCCGGACAACACTCTCCAACCAGCAGAGGCTCACGGCCACGCCCACTTCTGCCGCAGCGACTGTCTGCCGAGGAGCCGCCCGTCGCGCACGGTAGCCGGGCCCCTTCCTGAGGGCTCCAGAAGCTCTACTCTAGGTTACGGGGTCACCTTCTTGTAGGTGACATGAAGATGCGGAGTCATTGGCTGTGTAGTGGTTGCCATGGAGACTGTCTGTTCAAGTTTGCCTTCAGAATTCAGCCTGAATTTTCGGGTAATCTGAGCAGGAGAATAAAACACAACGCCTTAGTTTTACCTTCAAAAGATTCAACAAATGCCTGAGCACCCGCCAGGTGCCAAGCACTCGTCACAGGCCTGTGAGCCAGGCAGTGTCGCTGCTGGCAGATGATGGACCACAGCCCAGGGCCACGCGGGGTATCAGGATCAAGGTGTCTGGCCCCTGGCCCCAAGCCCCTCAGCTGCTTCCAGAAGACCAGAAGGTGAACACGTGAATTGGCCTCATCTCGGTTTACTTAGAAGCCTGTCTGCTTTTCTGGTCTCTACAACATACACACCTGATCAGATTAAGGTTGAGCTCTCGATGCCCTCCTCCCCGTCCCCTCCCATCTCACTCTGCAACTGGAACTGACGTCAAACGTGTGCTTGGAAATCTCAGCAACAGCACCTTCGGGACTTCCAGTCCATCAGAACACAGCACAGTGGCTGCTTCCAAGAAGACTACAAGCCTGTAGCAATTACGTCGTGAATGAGACAATCCTACATGCCTGGAACGCTTGCTGACAGAAAGTGTGAAGTGTGTCCCCTGTCGAGAGACAACTCTGCAATGGGCACCCTCTCTCCAGGGTCCCAGGTGTGTGTGGGGAGGGGACCCAGAACGTGGGTGAGGGAGGTGTTCTGCTTCTGGCCTCAGCCAACGACTTTGTAACCGACCTACCCTCTTGCAGAGAGAAGCCCAGATGTAAAAAGTCTATTTAAAGGTATCAGAGCACCAACAAGGCAGCAAGGATTAATGTCCCAGAGAGAAGGGAGTGAAGAGGTGAGACCCAGTTTGGAGCAACTGTTTGCCACAAGGCTTGTGCTGCCCAGAGGTCGTGGGGTTCCAGGGGCGGTGTCCAAGAGGCTGGACGCTGAGCAAGGCTTGCTCAGACCCATGGGGCAGGGGTGACAAAAGCTGGAATTCGGTGCCTGTATAGAAGGAGAGGCCCTGGAAAACACCCAGGCTTTCCTGTGGGACCCCCGAAGGGCTGTGCCCCGGGAGTGAGGGTGAACCAGAAACACTGGGAAGTCCAGTTTCTAGCCAGTCTCTAACAATCTGCCCCTCCTGGACTGACAATCAGAAGCACAAGAACTGCTGTTTCCTGGGAGATAACATCAAACAAAACCTCAAATCATCTCTATAATTTTTCAAACATAATGTCTAGAATCCAAGAGAAAAAAAGAAAAAAAAACCAAAACTACTTAGCTTACTAGGAGATAAGACCAAAAGAAAAAACAGGAAGTGAAACAGATCCCCCCACCTTGGCGGGGGTGCCAATACTGGAGTTGTCAGAAGACAGTACAGAGAATTTCAGCAGAGAACTAGAATCTTTCAAAAAGAATAAAATAGAAATTCTATAACTGAAGCCCCCAGCAATGAACTATAAATAGCAGATCAGACACAGATGAAGACATGATCGGTAGCCTGCAAACTGTGAGGTTCTAACTCCCGCGGGATCGGAGGCCCAGAAGAGAGGAAGGAGAATGGAGCGCAAGCAGCATGTGAGAGATCATGGCCAATTTTCTGGGACTGACCAAAGATATCAAGCCACACATTGAAACTGTATCATAGCAAAACCTTGGCTGAGAATCAGTAGGAATTTGAAAGCAGCCCGTGGTGGGAGTGGGTGTGACGGTCAACCTTAGGTGTCAACCTGACTGCATCAGGAATACCTAGAAACCTGGCAAAGCATTAGTTCTTGGTGTGTGCGTGAGAGTGTTTCCGAGGCAACCGGCGTGAGTCCGAGTGGACTGGGGGGCAGATCTGCCCTCAGTGTGTGCAGGCAGCACCTGCCCTGATGGGGTCGGAGGGAACAAATGGAGAAGGGAGTGTGTGTCCATCCTTCTGCTGCGGCTGGGACACACTCTTCCTCTGCTACTCCGGACGACCCCAGGCTCCCAGCGTTGACACCAGGACTCACACCAGCAGCCTGGCGCCGAAGCCTTCAGACTTGAACCCCGCCAGCCACCAGCACCCCACGGTCTCTGGCTCGCAGACGGGACTTTTATCACCATAGCGACTACTGAATACTATTAAATACGTTTGTTTCAAGTGTGCATGAAATATTCACCAAGTTAGATCATACATCAGGGCATAATATAAGTCTGCAACATTTCTAACAGACTAAAATCTCAGAGAATATGTTTTCTGGGCCTAATAAAATTGAATTAGAAATCAGTAGCAATAGAAGATGTACGAAATTCTCAAATATTTGGAAAATAAGCAACACACCTCTAAATAATCCTGTTCAGAGACAAAAGAATAACTAGAGAAATGAAAAAATTTTGAGCTAGAAGATAATAAAAGCACGGCTTATTATGTTAGTATTTGTGCTAAGGCAAGACTTAGAGGCACATTTATAGCTGCAAATGGTGTAGCACAAAAGAAAAATGGGTTAAAAAAGTCACTGATGTAAATTTCTACTTTTTTTTTTTTTTCAGACAGAGTCTCACTCTTTTCCCCGGGCTAGAGTGAGTGCCGTGGCATCAGCCTAGCTCACAGCAACCTCAAACTCCTGGGCTCAAGTGATCCTTCTGCCTCAGCCTCCCGAGTAGCTGGGATTACAGGCATGCACCACCATGCCCGTCTAATTTTTTTTTTCTATATATTTTTAGTTGTCTGATTAATTTCTTTCTATTTTTACTAGAGACGGGGTCTCGCTCTTGCTCAGGCTGGTTTCGAACTCTTGAGCTCAAACAATCTGCCCGCCTCGGCCTCCCAGAGTGCTAGGATTACAGACGTGAGCCACCGCGCCTGGCCGTAAATTTGTTTTAAGAAGACAAAAAAGGAGAGGAAATTAAATCCAGAATAATTAGAATAAAAGAAATAATATGACACAAAAATCTTCTAACACTTATTAGTCATATGTAAATCTGTAATATATAAAGAAAGGTAACTCATTATGATCAAGTGGGGTTTATCCCAAGAAAGCACAGTTGGTTCAACATGTGAAAACCAGTCACTGAAATTCATCGTGGTAGAAGAATAAAGGAGAATTACCCATTTATGATATTTTTAAACTAGCAGACACCATTTGACAAAGGGCATCCACACAGCGGTGGTGGGAGACTGACTGCCCCCCCCGGGGTGGAGAGCGGGTGTCTGCTCTCCCCACACACTCAGTATTGCACTGCTGGTCCCATCCAGTAAAGCAAGGCAGGAAAAGAAATAAAAGGCATCAAGATTAGAAAGGAAGAAGTAACACCCTCAGCAATAGCAGAAAATGCAGAGAATCTAAGGGAATCTGTAAAGAAGCTACCAAAATATGTGAATTCAACAAGGTCACATGATATAAGATCAATATACAACAGTTCATTGTATTTCTATATGGTACCAACAAATAATCGGAAAATTTAAAAAATCATTTGTAATTGCATCTAAAACCACAAAATACTTAGGAATAAATTTAACAAAATATGTGTAAGACCAATACTTTAAAAACTACAAAAAAAACTTAGGATGAGAGAGACCTAACAGATGGAAATTTACCGTGGTACTGGATTGGAGGACTCAGTTTGCTTAAGATGGTACTTCTTCCCAAATTAATCTACGAATCACATTTTTTTCTTTTAGAAATTGACAAGCTGATTATAAAATTCATATGGAAATGCAAAGGGTCCTAGAGTAGCTAAAAAAATTTTGGGAAAAAAAGAAGAAAAAAAGAGAAAAGGAAAACAAAATTCTGGAAAAAGAAAAAAGAGAGTTTGGACAACATCTGCTACCTCACATAAAGCTACGGTGACAAGCCAGTGTGGTACAAAGGCAGACACAGAGCACGTGGGGCAGAGTGGAGAGTCCGGAAAAAGATCCACACACACTTTAGGCCAGTGGCTCACGCCTGCAATCCTATCACTCTGGGAGGTCGAGGTGTGAGGATCACTTGAGGTCAGGAGTTCGAGACCAGCCTGAGCAACATAAAGAGATCCCATCTCTACAAAACACAGAAAAATTAGCTGGGTGTGGTGGTGGTGCCTGTAGCCCCAGCTACTCGGGAGGCTGAGGGAGGAGGGTGCCTTGAGCCCAGGAGTTTTGAGGCTGCAGTGAGCCGTGATCATGCCACTGCCCTCATGCCCGGCAACAGAGCCAGACCCACCCTGTCTCCAATCAATCAATAAAGGAACGAATGAATAAATAAATAAAGTGAGTTAATTTTTGACAAAAGCAGACACATATTTCAATGAGTTGAGGGTAGTCTTTCCAACAAATGGTGCTGAACAATGAACTACCTGTATGAAAAAAAAATTAAAAACTTGACCACTACTTCACATCATACAAAAACAGTAATTGCAAATATCACAGATGTTAAGGTAAAAAGCAAAACTATAAAAATTCTTGAAGAAAATGCCTGTGAAAATGCAGCCTGGGCTAGGCAAAAAGTTTTAAGACAGGACACAAAAAGCACTAACTATATAGAAAAAATAGATAATAGGACTAAACCGTTTTTGTTCTGCAAAAGGCACTACTTAAGAAACAAACAGGCAAGCCGTAGGCTGGGAATATAGTCTCAATGCATAACCTGAGGACGGATTTATATCCAGAATACATAACTCTCACAATTCAGTAATAACACAAAAAACATGCTGAAAAAACGGGCAAAGATTTGAATGCTCACCTCACAAAACAAGAAATACAGGTGGCAGTAAGCACAATGCAACATGAGCAGCACCATGCGTCAGGAAAACGCAGATTAACACCACCGCCAGCTGCCACCTCACAGCCTCTGGGACGCCAAAGCGCAAAGGCGAGGGCGTGGCACAAGTGGCACTCGCACGCCGTGGCTGGGGCGTAAGCGGCGTGGCCTCCCTGGGAAGAGACTGTGCTTCCATGCAGCTCAGCAATCCCAACCCCAGGGCTCGCATGGGGAAGGAAAATGTGTCCACACAAGGACTTGTACACAGATGCAAACAGCAGGTTCCTTTGTAGCCCAGAACTGGGGGGTGACAGTGTCCGTCAACAGAGATGGGTAAACCAAACTGTGACACGTTCACTTAGCGGAGTGTCA